TTTAGTCTTTTATGGTACCCAGAATTTTTTTTAATGTGGCTACAAAAGTAGTGATAGATGGAAAACTAGAGTGCTTCTTCATGCAGATACATTTGTTATGACTTCATTGTATATTAGATATATTTCAGTGTAAATTAAACCACTTAGTTTGTATAGACTGTGTTGCTTATGTATCAAATATCAATATATTGTTATGAAATCTGTGGGCATTCCAGCTTTTAAAGTTACAGGATGTTGTTTAGGGTATCTAAAGTGGTCAAATTCACAGAAACAGAAAGTAGAATTGTAGTTTCCATGGGCTGGAGGGCCAGAGCCATTGGGAGTTTTTGTTTAATGGGCTCAGAATTTCAGTCTATTAGGACGAAAAGAGTCCTAGAGATGGATGGTGGTGCCGGAGGCACGTAAGTGTGAATGTGTTCAGTACCACTGGACTGTACACTTAAAATGGTTGAAATGATAAGATTTATGTTAAAATACTAAATGTATCATACTCTGGTTTCTCTTCAGATTGTATAAATCTTTCACTTTTTTAAAATGTATCCAATGTGCCATGAAATCTGTGGTTATTTCAGTTTAAACCATACTATTTTGCCTTTATGGATACCTAGAAACTAAAACAAATACAACTATTAACAAATAAAAAAGTTTATGTGTATAGCTAACCCCCCAAAAAGCAGGTTAAAATGGGTTATGCTGACCCTAAAACTGAGATACCCCCCCAAAAAATGGTTCCAACGCTGATTTGTGGATGCTGTAACTGAAACACGGTTTCAGCTGCCTGCTGCAAGGACAGCCAGACTCAAGTACTGGTGCAGAAGGAAAGAGGTTTATTCAGGTGCCACCTGGGAGAATGGTGGACTCTTTGTGCCAAAAGACCATCCCCACTTCCTGCTCAAGACTGTGGTTCTTATAGGAAGGAGAAGGGTGGGCTTTTTAATCTATCCAATTATCTTGCTTGCTTTTGGTGTGCTCAGGTCCAACCCATTCACCATTCACCTTACTAGGTTTTGGTGCACTGGGGCCCTGCCCATGCACCTCTCTAGCTTTTAGTGCACCCAGTGTAAGAATCTCCCCCTGTACCCTCCTGGCCAGTGTGGGAGACTCCCAGCACTCCCTGACTGCCTTTGGTTACAGTGCTGGCACCCAAGGGAATGAGGAGTGTTTTTCCTCCAAAGGCCTAGTCCTTCATCACAAACATCAACCTTATCTTCCACTAATGTGCTCAGTATCTCTGCAGAGTCTGCTGTTCAAGGCACAGGAAATGTTGTATGGTAGTCTCAAGGGCGCTTCATTGCCTACTTGTTTGAGTGCAAGGTACTCAACTCGGACGTCACTAGGTCTTTCCTTCTGATCCATCAGACTTTCTGCAACAACTTGAATAACATGAGACAAAGGCCGGGACTCTGACACAAAGAACGATAAAAACGAGAAAGACCTGGTACATGGATCTAGGAGGTGGGTCTCTCCCCGGCAAAAATGAAGATGAGATGGAAGGAGGGGAATTTAGAGTGAGGCCTTTAGGCAAAGTCCAGCTGGCTCATTAGGCCAACTCAAGCTGCAAAGAAAAAGAAGCAGGGAATTTTGGAGTCTACATAGTCACCTAGGATTCAGTCTGACGACTGGCCTGGCTTGGCAGGATAGGAACTGGTGGGAGGAGAGGAGTGTGTTGCCCCATAGCTTATCCCAACAGGCTGAATGAAGTTTGGGAGGTCTGAATGCATATTTTTGTCAACATTCTGGACAATAATTTTAAAACCATACCTGGGTAAGATATTTAATCTAGTGTAGGTATTAGAGTTGACACTTTTACTCTCGCTTTAATTATTCTACCTCTATTCCCCTCCCCCTGCTGCTGTTCCTTAAAAAGCTATTGCAGACCACCTCTCTATAGGCTTGACTTTATAACCCAATATAAACATGCTTAAATATATTAAAATACCCCTACACCTTACTTCCAGACCAGGTCATCTTCCCCCTACCCCCACCCCAAACCTTTTCCTCCAAGTTATCCATTGCTTTATAAAAAGATACCTCAAAACTTAGCCACTTAATTATGTCTCAAGTTTCCATGGGCTGGCTGGTCTTCACTGGGCAGTCCCCACCTGTAATTGTCTGGAGTCACTCATGTGGGGTGCTCAGCAAGAGGCTCAGCTGGGGCTGGAACGTGCAGGATAATGTCACTCACACTTCAGCTGGAGTGGCTGGAATGATTGGGGCCTAAGTAGGTCTCTTTCTCTCTTCATGTAGTTTCCTCTCCTTCAGTAAACTAGTCAGCGTTTCATGGTGACTAGATCCCAAGATAGTGAAATAAAACTGCAAAGCCCAGAAGTCACACAGCATCACTTCCACAGCATTCTATGGGTCAGAGTAAGTCCAGGGCCAGCCGGGGTTTAGGAGGAGGGAGTACAGACTCCATCTTTTCATGGTAAAGGTTGGCATGCATTTATAGGAATGGGAGGAATTGCTGGTGACCATATTTGCAGATGATCTGCTACTTAACATTTAGAAATCTGATGCCAAATTTCATATTCTACTTGTGAATCGGTCCGATTTAAATTCTGAGACTCGTCCTGGCTGGTGCATCTCACCTGGAGTATCATTTATAAACCCAAAGGTCTCTGGCTCAATTTCCCACTCAGTGCACAAGCCTGGGTAGTGGTTTTGGTCCTTGGTGGGGACACATATGAGAGGTCCCTGGTCGGGGTGCATAGGAAAGACAACCAATTGATGTCTGTCTGTCTGTCTGTCTCTATCTCTCTGTCTCTCTCTGCAATCCTCTCTCCCTAAAAGAAAAAAAAGGGCTGGGGGGAAGACCTCCTGTGAGGGAAAAATAAATTAATAAATAATCAATGAACATATTCTTGGGTGAGGCTGAGGATAAAAAAATTGCGAGGCTTTTCACTTTTCATTGAGTTTTATATTTAATAATATTAGATAATCCTTCAATGAGAAATCGTGTAGTATATTATCATTTTATATAAAACTCTGCACCTATTGAAGAGAGAATGAAATTTCTTTTCAATACCCACACAGCATGGGCTTTGAGGCTGTGTGGGCATGTCAGTTTGAACCTTGGCTCTGACAGATACTAGCAATAGCACCTTGGGAACTTCCCTTTCAGTCTCACACTTTTCTCCTTTGTATTTATAGACTTACTGTGACATTAAATATATGTAAAGTGCTTGGATAAGAGCCTGGTATACTATAAATGTGCAATAAATATTGGCTTTAAAATATAAATTATCAGTATCTATTATGTAATATAGCAGCACCTGTTTTGAATTAAACCTCCTGGAACTGGAAAGACATGTCGTATTACTAAAGCTAGTCCTTTATCCTGATTACTTCCACTGCTTCCCACACTTCTTGCCAGGTAGGTAGGTGAAACAATTGTTTGATTACCACGTGTTCTAAAAAAGTGATTTACCAACTTTTAAACATTGCAACCCATATTAAGAAATATAATTTACACTGTAACCCACACAATCACACCTAATACTTGCAAATGTTTCATGAAACAATACTTATCCTCAAGTTGTGCTATGAACTCTGATTTTTTTCCTACTTCAGTGAAACAACTATTTCATTTGACCCACTATTATTAACTTAATTGCCTGCTGAAGAGTTTCAACTTACATATTATGGTCATTGACGAATTAGGTCAGTAAACACACTTTCAGCCCAGGAATTGTTTCAAGTGTGCTGTAAGAATATGTTATACGTCATTTTCATACAGGCCAATTCCGTTATGGAGCAAAAAACTCTTTCACTAATATGGCCTGACCTGCCTACTCAAGAGGCTTCACTAATTCTTTCACTGGGATAGAGGGAGCTAGAGGAGGTATGTGCAGAGTATATGTGTTTCTTGATAAAAAACAAAGTGCCTTTTTGGAGATAAATGGAGCTAGGCTGAAATTCCAGCTTCACAACTTACTATACTGTATTTTGAAGCAAGTTATTTAAATTTAGTTTTGGAGTCTCGGTTTTTTGATTTCTTAAAGGATTACACAGATAATGCCTACTTTGGTTGTGTTGTGACCAGTGAATGAGAACACACACCCAAAGGCCCGGCTCGTGTCCAGCAAACTGGCACCAAGAAGGCTCTTGGAACGTGTTTGTTGCTTCCTTCTGGTACATAGAACACAAACTTCAAAATACACAGCTATTCTTTAGGTTCTGCATTTTATATTTCTAGAAGAAAAGCTAAGTTTTACAGTACTTACTATGTTCAAACCCTATATTATTCTTTTAATGCCACTTAATTTCAACAACCACATATTGTCCTGGTATTCTACTTAATGACAGTTAATAGTTATTAATTTTTCTGCAATATGAATATGAATTACAAAACACTTTTTTATTCTAGGGTCAGGTTTATTACAGTGGGGTTTGGCTAGAGCACCCATTTATCAGTACAATCGTGGAAAGAATGTGTGTAGAGGAGAAAAACATCTCCAACTGTTGTATTGCTAAATAATTGAAACAAAATAACATGCAAAACACACGCACCGCTTTCTTTTTGAATGCAATATTTAAGGTTACCAACATTCTAGGGCTGTGGCCAGGTGGTATTTTCACGATAGGTTATCTAGCTCTTAAGGAGTCAAAAGTAACTAACGTGGTGGGTTGTTATGGTCATCTCATACTCACTAGCCAGTAGACCTTTAGAAGGGGCCTGGTTGTTTTAAAGTTTCTGCCGGAAGATCAGCAGATGAAAGTGTCCGTGAACGGGATGGGGGCGGGGAGAGGGCGTGACACACTTTCCTCTCGCCAGCGGTACTACACCCGCTGCCGTGGCTCCCACGTGGCAAACTCACACTGCGCAGCTCAGCGCTGGACTTGTGCAGCGGACCTAGTCGCATTAGTCTTCCTCGGCTCTCCCGCCCTTCCCTCCGGCCTGCTTCTCTCGGTCCTCCACCGCCAGGGGGCGGGCGCGGCATCCCGGGTGGCGGGGGCCCATTGGTCCTGGCGGGAAGCGGGGAGGAGGCCCAGCGGCGAGCTGGCTTCCTCCGGCCACTTGCGGGGGGTGAAGGAAAGCCGGAGAAGCTCGGAAGGAAGCGGAGAAACCTGCGGGAGGTGGCGGCTGCTCCCGTCGGCCTCCGGGGAGACTGACTGCGCGGAGGCCGGAAGCCGGGCGAGCTTGGCGGAGAGGCGGGCGGGAGGCCGGTGAGACGGTCGGGGAGGCTGACGGAGCTGCGGCCCAGGGTGGGGAGGGTAGAGGGAGGCTCTGGGGAGCCGGGAACCCTCCTTCACCTTCATCTTCCGCTGACCCCGCCACAGGGGCGTGCCCTGGTTCTCCCTGTGAGTCTCTCCGGTGGGGGAGGACAAGGGCAGGACCAGAGCTACCAGGTCACGGTTGGCTGGGGGTCCGGGCTGCTGCCCCTGCGCCGTCATTCCCTCCAGGTGTCCCCTCCTGGGTCTCTCTGGAGATCCGGGCTGCGTCTGCACCTTGTGCCTTGGGCTCTGCGCTGGGGCTGCCACCTGGGGCGCACGATCCAGGAGGGGCACCGGCTTGGAAATAAGGGCTGAATGCTCCGAAGAGGCAGGGATGGAGTTCATGTTGCATTGGAACACTGTGGAGGGCCGTCTTGGCTCACTTGCAGTAAAGTTTTAATGTCTCTTAAACTGGACGTACTTTCATTTTTAAAACTATCCAGCCCATTGTTGTTGGGTGTCATCGATGAATGGGCTGTTCGTCCTTTTTCTTTCACCCCATTTATTGCCTGTCCCCACTGTTTGTACCATGTATGAGGATAAGTGACACTGGATCCAATTCCTAACAATATTACGAATGGATTGACATTTTGATATTAATATATCCAGTTGTGATTTTTGTCTTTATTCTCTACCTTAAAAAAATGTTTTCTTCTAATACGGAACCACTGTTTAGTGGACAGAAGCTTTTTTTTGTTTCTTTTTACTTACCAAAAAATATATGGATACATCAAGAAAGATGGCTGCTGTGGAATAAAAAATATGGATACTATAATACTAGATACTATTAGATTGCTTACTAGGAACTGTGCCAAGTGGTTTCATAGGCATATTTATTTGTTTCTTACAACCCAAAGAGTAGGTCCTTTTATCTATCTTTCCCAATTTTACAGAGAAAATAGGAACTCCTCTGGAGATAGATGCTCACAGTAGGTCCCAAATCCTTTGGCTACCTTGGGGGCATTAGTGGTATTCTATCACTTTTTTCAAGTTTGGGGAAACATGACTTAGTCATGTGCTGCATAATGATGCTTTGGTCAGCTATGGTCCCATGTCCCAGAAGAGTATGATGGAGCTGAAAAATTTCCTATCATCTAGTGACATCATACCTCATGGCATTACTCACGTGTTTGAGGTGATGCTGGTGTAAACAGGCCTGTGCGGCCCGCAGTGTAGGAGCAGAGCACATACAGTTGACCCATGAACAACCGGGGTTAGGAGCTCCCATTCCTGCGCAGTTGAAAATCCAGGTGTAAATCTTGACTTCCACAGTCAGGTTTCCCACCCTAGATTTCACTAACTGCAGATTGAAAAAAGTATTTTCACATTCCTAACTGCAGACTCCCAACCGTGGATTAAATACACTGTTTCAGTGCATGTATACTGTTTCGATCCACAGTTAGTTGAATACCCAGGTGTGAAGGGTCGACTGTATTTATTGAAAAAAAATCCACTTATAAGAGGACCCTCACAGTTCAAACCCCTGTTCAACAGTCAACTGTATGTATAATACATACTATTGTATTTGATAATGGTAATAAATGACTATGTTACTGGTGTATGTATTTACTGTACTATACTTTTTATCATTATTTTAGCATGTACTCTTGTAACTTACTAAAAAAAGGTTTGCTGTAAAATAATATGTCATACCGCGCTTGCAGTAGCCTCATGTATCTCATGTTCACCTCGTCTCTTTTTAACATACTGATTTTTAGAGAAAGAGGAATGACAGAGAGGGGGAGAGAGAGAGTGGGGCGGGGAGAGAAACATCAATCTGTTGTTCCACTTGTGCATTCATTGGTTGCTTCTTGTATGTGCCCTGACTGGAGATCAAACCTGACCCTGACCCTGGCCTGTTGGGCCATGCTCTAACCCACTGAGACCCTGCCAGGGCTCAACCTTATCTCTTGATTACACCGTTTTATCTTGTGCTTCCTTTGTTGGCTTGTGCAGTAACATGCTGCATTGCTTTGTAGCTTAGGGGTAATAGGCTGTATATCACGTAGCGGAGGCATACAGTAGGCCAGACCAGCTAGGTTTGTGTAATGGCGCTCTGTGATGTTGGCACAAGGACAAAATCGCATAATGACACCTTTCTCAGAACATGCTCCCATCATTAAGTGGCATGTGATAATTCACACAGGTTTTGCAGAGTACCAAGGGATCTCCATTTAACTTAGAAAACAAAAGTTAATAACTTAGGCCATTCAGAAAGAAATTGGCAGAGTCAGTGTCCGGCTTTGGGTGTATTCACTGTACCTCTTTTAAAGGCAGCCCAGTCTCTGCCCAGAGTTCCCTTTACTAATTAAGTCACATTCCTTTTCAATTTTATACAGGTGTTAGAAGCTTTGTTTCACAAATTCTGTGTAATGTTTTCTTGGCATATTAAAGACTAGCATATTTTTTTAAAGTAAAAAAGTTCAATGTAGTGATTCTCAACCTGTGAACCTTTCAGAATTGTGCACAAATGAGGCTTTTAATTTATTTTTTAAAGTGTAGTTGGTATGCCATCTTACTTCCATTGGGTATATTAGTTTTAGCGTGACTTGATATTTTTATAACTTACATGTGATCACCCCACTAATTCTAGTATTCATCTGTCACTATGTGAACTTTTTAAAAAGGACACAGGCCAGGTTCCCCTCAAATCCCTAATGTAGGGATTTCTGTTTAAAAGGGGGGCTTCTGTTTAAAAGGGAGTTAAATTGGCCCTGGCCAGAAAGTTCAGGTGGTTAGAATGTTGTCCTGATACGCCAAGGTTGCAGGTTTGATCCCCAGTTTAGGCACGGGCAAAAATCAACCGATGAGTGCATGAGTGAGTAGAGCAACAAGTCAATTTTTCTCTCCATCTCCCTCTTCCTCTCCCTTCTCTCTCTCTAAAATCAATAAATAAAATTTAAAAATAAATAAATAAAAGGGAGTTAAGAATAAAGCACCACTGGGTTAAAGTGACTTAAAAATAAACTCAATGGATGTTTTCACAGAATTTTAATGTAGATTGCTACCTTAAGCATTGTCAACTCATCACTCTCCAAGATTAATGAAGATACATTACAAAGGAAAACACAGTTGGGCTAAGAGACTGTTAAATGGCAACAAAAAGAAAGTAGTGTTCACTTTAGGGGATGATGAGGGTCTAATATTTTCACCACATATTTTATGTCTTAAATGGTTAGTCTCAGTATTTAAAAATTTTCACATTTAAAAATGTGAGAGTGCCTACTGTGCGCCAGCAATTATTATTGCTGGTACCCTGGCGGCTATGAATAAGGCAGCCTGGGCCCTCACAAAGCTCCTTTACTTTGAAGCAGTAAGATTCTGTATCTCTCTCTATTTTGTACTTATTTCCTGAAGCCGAAAGGTACAAGACCCAAGAAGCAAAAGATTTTGGTCTTAGATCTCACAAAAATCCATCTAGCTCAGAGCTTAATACAATAGCAAAAATTTGTCTCAAAAAAATTATCTAGAATTTAGTCCCAAAGGATCCTTTTCTTTGGAATCAGATAATCTGTATTTTAAACAATACCTCTGCATGTTGTTATTTCATGAACAGGATTGGCCAAACTATTTAATATCATACATGCCTTGTTCTCTTAATCTCATTGGGGAGATTGGGCAAAATTCTCAAGATCTCAAAACTTTAAAAGGCTTTATGATTGCTCTGGTTGGTGTGGCTCAGTTGTTTGGGCATTCTCCTAGAAACCAAAGGTCACAGGCATCATTCCAACCTGGACCCTTGCCTGGGTTGAGGGTTCGGTCCCCAGTCAGGGCTTTTGCAAGAAGCAACTGATTGATGTTCCTCTCTGTCATGGATGTTTCTCCTACCCTCTCTCTGGAATCAATAAAAGAAAAATGAATAAATACATACATAAATGTTTTATGATTTTTATTCAGCTCCTAAAATACAGTCAGCTGAATTTCTTTTGGAGGAGGAAATTAAGTGTTCCATTACCTCTGAATTTGTACAGCTCCATCAGTATTCTTGGTTGAAACTGTTCTTATATTACTTATATTTTCCTTATTTCTAATCAAATTTTTGCTTCTCTTCATGATTTTTCTAGTTTTACTCTGTTGAATTTTTCTTTTTCTATTTCATTTTCAAAAAAATTAAATTTAACTCATAGAACATAAAATTTGTTATTTATAATTCAGTGACAGTACATTCACAGAGCTGTGCAATCATCACTTCTGTTCAGTTGTAAAATGTTTTCGTCACCCCGAAAGGAAACCTCATGTCCATTAAGCAGGTTACCCCTCTACCCTGCCACTTTCCTCTAGCCCCTGGCAACCACTAGTCTACTTTCTGTCTTTATGGATTTACCTGTTCTGCATTTTTCATGTAAATAGAGTCATATAGTATGTGGTCATTTGTGTCTGGCTTATTTCACTTAGCATTATGTTTTACAGGTTCACCCATGTTGTGTGTATGAGAACTTCCTTCCTTTTTATAGCTGAATAATACTCCACTGTGGATATATGCCATGTTTTGTTTAGCTATTCATCTGCTGGTGAACCCTGGGGAGTTTTTGTGGGCATATGAGGAAAAGTTATGTGGACATCCACAGCAGGGAGTCAGGTCCTGGATTTTTATCCTAAGTTCTACAAGGTTTGTAAAGGTAGTATCATGGTATCAGGTGTACTTTTTTTTTCTTTTTTTCTTTTTTTTTCCATAAGAATTGGTGAGCTGTCCAGGTCTCTTGAGCAAATGGAACCACTCTTCTACATTTGTTCACATAGAAGGTCTGACTGGCAGAATTATGTTTGCTCTCGCGGTTCTGCAGACTACTTAAAGCACTAAAGTGCAGTGGGTTTGTAGGGGAATTCTTAAACATTCATTCAGAATAGGAACCTGTAACTTCTCATATAATGTAAAATAGTTCCATGAGATGCAGGTAGTTATACTGTATGTAAATTTGTGCCTCTTTCTGTTCTCTTTTTTGTGGCAGTTT